CCAAATTCAACACTTTTAAAAAAAATTAATTTGTACATAAAAAAATGCTTTTTCTTAGGTAATTAAATAGTAAATTAAATAGTGCAAATGTGTTAAATGGGGAAAAGTAAAAATTAACTCTTATATGTCATAAATATTATTAACTATTATATTAGAATGTATCAGACAATTTTGAATTACAGACTGTCCTTAAATGAAATATATCTTATTTTTAAAATTTCCTTCTCCTGTGCCATGCAACATTGATGAAATGATTTATAAACTACTCAGGGGGTTCTCAAGATTATGTTTTTGTGAAAGGGATTCCCAGCTTCAAAATGAAATCCCATTCTAGACTAATCAAGAATAGAAAATGAGATTGAAGTCACAGAATTTTGAAGGCCTTCCTCATGCTGGTATTCAACATGACATCACCAAATTTTCACTTGGTTTGCTCAGGGGGTGAGTTCATGATATTTATAGGAGCCTATCAGGTTTATTCAAATGAGAAAATAGCCAGAACTTTGGGCATTTTCTAAAAGATAGAGCCAAGTTAGCTCCTAGGTTTTTGGTTTTGGAAGGAGGGAGACGTTTTTAAAATGGCTTCTTCTATCTATAACACTTGTCCAAATCCTACTCATTTTTCAATTCCCAATGATAATTTCACCACAGCCAGGCCATTTGGGATTCCTCCCGCCGCCTTGATCTTCTTTAGGACTTAACCTGGCCTCTTAGTCACCTGGTGACTTGCATTGTTATTATAGCAGAGACTATTGCCTATATCTTTTAAAACTCCTTAAAGACATTTGCCATCCTCAGGGCACATGGGTGGCTCAGTTGGTTAAGCGTCTAACTCTTGATTTCGCCTCAGGTCATGATCTTGGACTCATGAGATCCAGCCCCATGTAGGGGTCTGCTCAGTGGGGACTCTGCTTAAGACTCTCTCTCCCTCTCCCTCTGCCCTCCCCCCTGCCACCTGCTCACATGCACACGCTCTCGCTCTCTTAAAAAAAAAAAAAAAAGGCATTTGCCATCCTCTCTTTTATGGTTTTAAATTTAGGTACCTGCTCCTGGGTCTCCCTCCTTTTTAACATTTTTTTGAATGTTTCCTTTGGAGTATGGTCATATATACCTGAGTACTATGTACATAGTAGGTGATCAAGGTGGTTTTGGCCTTAAATTGAAGACTAGGTCATATTCCTTAATCCTTCGTTTCCTTACGTTACCTTGCTTTTAGTGCCCATAACAAAAAATACAAAACCACCACCAAAAACAACAGTCTCCAGGGTACTTGGAGACTCTGTACTTTGGCTGTCTGCTGGATGGACTTAAGTGGAAATAAGAAGGGAGCCACTGTGCCCGAAGACTGGAGGGCAGGAACCCTCTCCTAACTGTGAAGATTCCTTCGGGTCTCTCTGCAATTTGTAGTGCTAATTTATTGCCTGAAGTATTACCAGAACCATCTAATCTGTTTAATTTCATAAAGTTTCACTTCCTTTTCCTCCATAAATCTCCTCGTTCCCAGCTTTATGCCAAGGATGACTTTGTGGCTGCATTATCTAAAAGAGTAATGGAAAGTTAGAAAGGAACTAATGACCCCAAGTTTCCTGGGAGAACTTTAAAACATAGCCCCAAGGATCGAATTTCTGATCCTCATACTCTCACTCTGTTTCGAAACCCTGGCCCTACAGATGTCTTTCTAACTTTAATGTATTTGGTTAGAAAATTATTTCTGTTTATTGAAAAAGAGCAGCAAAAATCGGAACATCCTTAAAGGAGAGGATGGAGGTTGGGGGGGAAGATAAGAACAAAGAAAAATGCAATCGAGCAGCTGCAGAAGTAGGACAGAAAGAATCTAGAAGGTGCAACTGGTCCAATGATCTCTCTCTCTTAGCCTTTTTTTTCTTTTTTTGCCAATTTCTGTGTATGCGTGCATGCGTGCGTGCGTGTGTGCACGCATGTGTCTCTCAACAAAAGCCTAGGCAGTTAAAAATGGAGACACTCTGTGCCACTTAATAGCATCTCTGTTGATCTTTCTCCAGTAGGTGTAAGTACTGAGAGCAACGGCACCTCTTGTCACCAGCTGCGGATGGGGAGTGGCTGCCTCAGGGGGAGCCGAGCCTAAAAAATCCACCACTGAGAAAAGGCAATAACAGAAGTCTGTTGCTGTCTAACCTGCCATATAAATGAAACAATCAAACAAGACAACAAAGAAAACTCCAGTAACCACCAGAGGCAAAAGCGGTTGGTGTAATATATCCTGGCTTCAGTGACTATTTTTAGTGTCTTCCCATCCCCCCCTTAAAAAAAAACCCTCTAATTTAGATTAACTGGGGAAAAACATTAAATAATTCAAGAGAGTCAGAGATAAGGAGAAGCAGAGAGACAGGGAGGGCACGCCTGTGAATGAAATAAAAAACCACACTGATACCTTGAAATGTACATGTGAATGTGCTTGTAATCAACGGATACTGAAGACTGTTTAAGAATCAAAGGAGAGGCCACTCATCAGTTTCATCCTCTGTTCCTTTCTCCTTGTTCGTGAGTCTGTGCTCTACATACACTGAGTCCACTCAGAGAAAGGATTTTCATGAATGGGAGGAAGAAAAATAATCATTCATCCCAATCATTTTTATTAGCTGACTATTTTAAGTTCGCTCTGGGCATGTTACTGCATATGTCGGACCAGCAGATCCAAAACTGTCTCCCAGAACTTTTGTAGGAAAATGTATGCAAATGTCACTAAAGTGCGCCTTGCCAAAGCGCATGTTTTTGTTTATTTGTTAGTTTGTTAAAGATTTTATTTATCTATTTGAGAAAGAGAGAGCACAAGCATGGGGAGTGGGCAAAGGGAGAGAGACAAGCTGACTCCCTGCTGAGCGGGGAACCCAACGACAGGGGGCTCGATCTCAGGGCCCCAAGATCAGGACAGGAGCTGAAGTTGGATGCTTAGCTGACTGAGCCCCCCAGGGCCTCAAAGCACACGTTTTTAATATCACTCAATCCAGCACTCTGGTGTCAGTGGGCAAGGATGAAAACTGAATTTTCAGGGAAGCTGTGGAGTCTTTTGGACTCCACAGAAGATTTGACTACTTCAAACACAAATCCGTGAAATTTCATATGTATAATTATTTTAAGAGAACTCTGGAAATGCTCTCGCTGGTATAATTAACATTCAAGAATAACTGAGGCAGAATGAAGCTTTCTCAGAATACCGTCTCATTATGTCTCATTTACTGCAAAAGGCAGCCTCCCAAGAATTAAGTCCTGATGCGAGAGCCCACTTACTTTCTCTCAAGCCAAGGTGACATTTGTCCCAAGAAGAACTTCCTCACACTGTACCATTTTGTTCCATCTGGTTAAATCTTAAACACTTTAAGGTGTTGGATCCCCCTTCGCTAACCTCCCTCACATGTTCATTAAGGCTTAATTAAGCGTACTCCTCTGAGAGGCACATTAAGAATACCTGATGGCAGGATTTCAGACAGCAAGTCCGACAAACGGTAGCAGAATGGATGGAGTACCACGGTGGGGTGTTGGACTCAACAGAGGACACCATCAGGACGTTGAGGGAAGGGAAGAGAACCTCAGAAGTGAAGAGAAGGGTTCTATGTACAAGAAGGATCATCTTTCAAGAGCGCAGTCTTTAACATGCTGGCCATGAGCACAGCGCAATTGCATGAGGAACTGGGGAAGGCGGCTGGCTTCAGCCCCCCAAAGTGGAAGCCCTGTATCTGGACCAGGTGAGGATACAATCATAGGTAGCAAAGAGCTTAAAGAGTGTGAGAAAGCAGAGGGAGAACTAGCTGTCTAGAAAATAACCATCCAGGGACACAGTAAACACTGCCTCCAAGGAGACTAGACAGAAGAAAGTCCCAGGAAAGAGGACCATGACTATGTGAGCAGCTGTGAGCAACGGCGGGAATGGGGATTCCCAGGGCCATAGGAAAGGGGCCATGGCCAGATTTTACAGAGTCCTATAGTCTTTTGTGTGGCAGGGAGGGAACGGTTAAGGGCAGGGTTCTGGTTTAGTGACCAAAAGCAAAACAAAGAGGGATGGCATGAAGTGCTCTTTCTGGAGATCTAAGGCATATAAAAGAGATCTATGGGAAGTGCATTTCAATGCATTTCCATAATTTTATTGTGTTGCATAAAATCATGCTCTCTTTAACTTGGGCTTATTTATGTAAGGGCATGGTATGATGACGTATTCATGTAATATGTAGAATTAGCCTCCATGCACAATCATGTCAATTCTGTCCCTGCAGGTGGTTAAGCACCTGACGTAGGACTCTAGTCTCTGTTGGCTCTGAACTATGACAAATAATCATCTGCAGTGATAACGCCCATGCTTATTTTTCTGGAATAATATAAAGTCTACCCTTCTCTCTACCCAGGGCTGCCCCTTGCTTAGATTATGTATTACTCTATGCCTATGTTCTGGATTTCTATCTGTCTCTCCTTCTCTTTCCTCCACTCTCAAATGCCTGTGAGTTTTTGTTTTCTGTTCATTTATTCCATGCCTCTATGTTTCCCTTACAGATGATACATATAAAAAGTTCCCGGATGTAAAGTTACCCGCACTTAGTAGTAATCATTGCTGATATTTCCAGATATAATGGACATTTAGGGATAAATAGTAATCATAGCTGACATTTATAAGGCATGTTTAGGTATGTCATGGACATTAATTCTTTCACTCATCACAATGGCCCTATCATTATCATGGTAATAAGAAGCTACCACGACAAATGAGGAAATGGAGTCAAATGTGTTCAAACCAGGAAGTGGTAGCTCTAGGATTAGAACCCCAGCAATCTGCTCTGAGCCCACGCCCTTAAACCTTATACAAAACTGCCGCCTTTATGAATAGCATATGTTCAAAAATAGCCCCTTGGGGAACATGACCTTAGGTTTATCTTTAATGCTTTACGGCTCATAAAGTTCTTTTGCATACACAATTTCATCTCTGCATCCAGGAAAACATCCAGGGTGTTATTAGAGGAAATGGAAAGACTTACTTTTCAGGATTCTGCGGAACCAAGGTCTGGATTCAGTTGTTATGGTCCAAATTGGTCTAAATTGGGTGCTTTTTTCTACTTTTCAGCCGCTTTAACTGCAGAATGGGCCTGTTGCTGGCAGGATCCAGATGGCCTCGAAGGCAGCGGGTATGAGCTGGGTGTGTAGAAGGAGGGAGAGGGGTACCTTGGTAAAAGAGAACATAAGGCAGATAGAAGAGATTTGGTGGAGGTCTGTCTGGGTCCAAGAAAATCCAAGAGCTTTGAGTGTAGAAATTCATTAAAAAAAAAAAAAATTCCCCTCTCTTAGAAAGCATCCTTTGGGTCAGGAGTAAAGCACCAGACCAGTGCTTTTTAAATGTTAATATGCACAGGGGAATCACCCAGGGATCTCACTGAAATGTAGGTTCTGACTTAGAAGAGCTGTGGGTTGAGACTGCATGTCTAACGGGTCCGCAGGGATGCCCTGCCTGCTGGTCATGGACCACACTGTGAGCGGCAGATTCTCCTGCTCTAGTTCTCTGAAACCCATGAATAACAACCCATGAGTTCCCCACCAGTCTAGCATCTCCTGTAGGTCACAGTCAACCTGCCCACCTCCCCCTGGTAGAAACCTGCTAGGCTAAGGGGGCCTACCTCTGAAACTCCAATTATGGAAACAAACTACCGCTCTCGCCCAGGAAGCATCTGCATCACGTGGCCATTAGTCTCAGGCACCGAGGAAGAACTTCCATCTTTCTATGAGTTAATGAGGCAAGGGCATTTACTGACAAGACCCCCACCCTGCCCCCCTCAAAAAAGGAGAGGTTTCTAGAAGCTTTTTATATGCCTGAGGACACAACCTGCCCTAAGTGACCTACATGGAGGGAGCCAGGTAAGCTAGGCAGGGACCCCCCAACCCTAGTGCAAACCTTTCTTCTCCACTGGGTACCCCCAGTTTTCAATCACAGATCACACAGGACTGAGTGGCGCTCCTTCGGTGCCCTCCCCACTTTGACGCCAGCCCTTTGAAATGATATTAGCGCTGGCTAATGGTCTGTAAATGTGTCAGAATGATGCCCCCTAGTGCCACGGATGCCATTTTCCCTTGTGAAGTCACACTGGCTGCACCACAGCAAGCCAGAATATAATTAGTGTTAATTTGGTTTTTCACTGAATGACTACTGCACAGCATTCATGGTCTCTACTCTTTGCTTATTTGGGGGACTTTTTTTTTTTTTAACACACTGAGGGGGTAGGGCGGGAATGTTGGGGTGGGGGCACGGCGTATTTGGCTCCCTTTTTGGCTGATGTCTGGGAGGTATTTGATCAGTATATGTTAATGGAATGTACGCAATTTGGTATTTTTCTCTTGCTTTCATTTTGAATTTAGTGGCTTCATATATGTCTAGAAAGAATCCCAGGGGGTCAGATATTCTAAGTCCCTCATTTTGTTCCTTTGGGCAAAATAGCACCCCCAAATTTCCAGGTAGACCAGCACCTATTAGCTTTATAAGCTAGTTCAAAAAAACCTTCAAGGCGGTAAATATGTTTGCCAACAACAGAATCTGATTCATGTAATAGTGCCATTAATTTGAAGTACATTTCTAGTGCACTAAGGCCCGTGTTATATCTTTTTTTTAATTAATATTATAGTGTTCTACTTGGTTTCTTTAAGACCAGATTTTTTTTTTAAGCAATTTCATGGATGGTCTAACTTATAAAAAGTCTTATATAGCCCTGTAAGGTATAACACCCTCAATAAATCCAGATGATAAAGAAACCTGTGGAATTTAGGCCTGAATGGAAGTTTAACTAGGGGAATGTTTTGGTGGCTGAAATTCCTGAAGAGGAATTACCCTACCAAGATCTCCAAATGAACGAGTCTTCCACAGGCCTGTGGAAAAGAAAACCCGGTGTGAGGGGAGACACCTCAAGTCATACCCATCCATGCTTTCCCTATCCTCCAATGTGGCATCGTGGATTCTCTGGATTTGAATTGTTCTCTCTCTTTTTTTTAAGATTTTATTTATTTATTTGATGGAGAGAGGGATAGCACAGGCAGGGGGAGCGGCAGGCAGAGGGAGAGGGAGAAGCAGGCCCCACGTGGAGCAGGGAGCCTGATGAGGGGCTCGATCCCAGGACCCTGGGATCATGACCTGAGCCAAAGGCAAACGCTTTACCGACTGAACCACCCAGGTGCCCCAGGCTTTGAATTTTTCTAAGAAGCCAATGTAGTCTAGTTCCTGTGACTCCAAAGCACGGACCTCTGCCATGGCTTTCCCTATAGGTGGTCATCCAGCTTCCAGGCCAGTGACCTAAGGGATAAGAGATTCTTTCTCAGGATAGTTCGTTTCCTTCCTATCTCCTAGGACAGCTGGGGGCAACCGATACAGTGGAAAAGTTCAAGCCCTGACTCAGCCCTGCAATCTTGGACAAGTCTCTCCCTCCCTCCCTCCTTCCCTTCCTCCCTCCCTCCCTCTACATCCTGGCTTTTTAGCTTTTAGCTCAAGTGAAGATATAATAAAGAACTTCCATTAGTTAGTCTCTTGCAAAGTGTAAGGAACAGAGACACATTCAGGCTAACATAATTAACGATGAAGTATGGAAGGGCAGGCAACCATCTTGCAAGCTACAGGGTGAGGCCTCCCAGAAAATCACTGGACATTGCAGGCTCTGCAGCGCTTTGGCAATCTGATAATTTTGCTGTCTCCCTAGCAGCTCACTTCCACTCCCCTGCACTCTAATGGGCCATCAGTATAGCGACATCCCTTCTATCTCTGCTTCTACACCGCTCCCCCCCCCCCCCCCGGTGCTAACTGATAAACTTACTCCCAGCCTCTCCAATTCATAATGAGCCAATCCAGTGGATGGGTCCAGCCCGTCACGATACAGTGACAACAATCCTGGACCAGGTGAGCTCCGCTGGGTACTCCTCACTGCCAATCACCCTTGGTTCAGACATTCACAAGGTCACTGGCAAGTATTTACTGGTCCCATGCTACATGTCACACTCTAATTTAGGCACCAGGGATTCAGGGGGAAGCAAATCAAAGTCCCTGTTCTCGCAACAGGGAAGAGTGACAATAAGTGAGTAGGCAAACCAATAAGACAGTTTTAGACAGCAACACAATTTCTGAGGACTATAAAAGAGGGATAGAGAGGAGGGGGGTTGGGGGTGACTGCTGAGCCTCAGATGGTCAGAAAAGAGCTTTCTGGGGGGGGGGCATTTGAACTGAACCCTGAAGGTGGGGAGGTAGCATTCCAGCGTCATGAAGAAGGGCACTTTAAACAAAGGGAGTAGTAAGTACAGAGGCTCTGCGACTAGAAAGGGTTTGGTGTAACTGAGGACAGAAGGAAGGTCGAGGGGTCTGAAACATTAGAAATTGAGGAGGGAGTGAGGAGGATGGGCAAGGCAGAGAGGTGACAAGGGGCTTGCAGGCTGTGACAAGAAGTTTGGATTTTAGGCTCATTGCAACGGGAAGTCATTGAGTCATTTAAGGAGGAAAAATTTTGTTTGATTTCACTTTGAAAAGATGAATAAAATATGAAAAAAGATCCTAAGGCTTGAGAATGAATACCTAAAGGAAGCTGTTGCAGTGGTTCAAACAAGAGATGATAGTTCTCCAACCAGAGTTTTAGAAGTTGCGATGCTAAGAAGCATTTAAAATGAGGATTTAGGGGCGCCTGGGTGGCTCAGTTGGTTAAGCATCTCCCTTCAGCTCAGGTCATGATCCCAGGGTCCTGGGATCGAGCTCCCTGCTCAGTGGGGAGTCTGCTTCTCCCTCTCCCCGCTCTCCCCCTTTGCTTGTACTCTCTCTCTTTGCTATCTCTCTCTCTCTCTCTCAAATAAGTAAATAAATAAACTCTTTAAAAATAAATTGGAAAGAGCAGAGACCAAGAGAAGAGAGAATCTCAAGGTGAACGGGACAGGCTCTTCCAGATACTGCAGAGAGGCCGAGCAGTTTCTACAGGCCCTTCGCAAACCACACGAGTGCACGTGTAAGCCAGTGGTTACAAGGCCGTTCACGCTGTCCGGGCTTTCTCCTAGACCCATCCTCCTGCTTTCCTGCTCGGGCTCCCCCAGCATCTTCACCAGGATCCTTTCTATTTTTACACATAAATCTCAGCCCAGGAAAGCTCTCCTGAATTCCCCTCCCCCCCCACCACCCCCCAGTGTACTTGGTGACTCTCCAAGGCATTTTCCCATATGTAACTCTCAAATAGCACTTAGTGCGCAGTCTCATAATTATATATTTGTTTATTACCCTACTGAAAAATTTTTTTAAAAATGTGCTTTTTAAATCCCCATTTCCAGTGTCTGACTTGGCCCAAAGTTAATCGATGAGGTTGGTGAGCTCGAGTGCTCTCCTTTGTATGAACTGAATTTGCCTTCTCTGGACCCCCCTGGTGGCTCCAGGTCCTCCGGCTGGGCTTGCGTTACTAACCCACCCTCACTGGGTCTGAGTGCATTGTCTGCTGGCCAGGCCTGCCCAGGAAGGGGAGGCATAGGCTTCAACATTAGTTGAAGTTGGACCCATGCAAACACGTCTTTTTTGTTTAGTTTTGTTTTGCTCGTTTCTGAGTGATATAGGCTGGATCTTCCACCCAAATCCATGTATCATCTGAGCAGCCAGGGAGGCCGTGGCCAATTAGAACCCTGGAACTTGTTTATCAGTCAGTCAACAACTGTTAGCGGAACCCACTGGGATGGAGGGCACTGTGCGCTGCATGCAGCCGTGGTTATACTGGAGTTAGGCTGAATTAGTTTCATTTTCACAAACATATAAAGTCCCTAAGAATCCTCACAAACTGTTAATTCTACTCTTGTTTTACGAGTGGACTCATGGGGCAAACAGATGTAAACTACAGCCAACTCTAACGAAAAAAAAAATAATAAAATGATTGTGAATTTAGCACAAATACTTCTGCAGAGGGTGCCTGGGGTGCTCTTGTAAACTCACTCTCAGAAGGCAGCCTTCAAACACTGCCACCTGTCAAGTATTAACCAGGCTAGTTTGAAAACAGAGAGCCCAGTTACAATTTTAACTAATGTAATATTGGGGATTCCCAGCTGCCCGGTGCTATGAAAAGAACCTAGAATCCCGGGAGGACAATAGAACACATTGGAATAAAATGTTGCCACCTATGGTTGTCCAGGGTACGACTTCCATATATATACAATTCATTATATGAATCGTTATATTATACATACCATTGTAGCTTATCCGCCCCCAGTGAGTCAGCTTTTCTAGATGCAGTGGGAAAGCTTGGGGAGTCAAACCCTTGTGTTCAGATGTCAAGGCTTGTATTTTCCCACTCATTTACAGCTAATTATTGACTATAAAGAAGATGAAACAACATCCTATAGAAGGTGTTGTGTTCATGAACCTGATAATTCCAAATCTTTCTCCAGAGTTGCCGACTTGTGGTTTCTTGCTTAGATGACCTTTTCCCTTAGAGCTTTGACAAAGTCAGTATGTGGACTTCCCCATGTCTCCTCCCCATTTTTATCCTCACCTGACTTCGGCATGTCTTGGCATGAAGGATTTGGGGGATTGTGGACTCATCCCTGCACCTACAGTTTCCCCTTCTTTTCCTGCCTCCGACGTGCCATCAGCTTCTCATGGTGCCATGAGCAAGATGTCCCAAGATATGCTCCGAGTTCCAGATGCTGCAGGCAACACTAGCATGAGGCTTTGAAAAGTTCTTGGCCAAATGATGAAAAAGAGGCCCCATCGTCACTCTGAAAATCAACAAGAGGAATATTATTGGAAATAAGGCATAGGATGTTGATGACTGACAAACAATGCAGGCTTTAGAGAAAATGTCTTGAGGAATGTCTGACTCTGCTCGACACATACTGGACACGTACTGCAAACAGGTGCTGGGCCCTGAGTTTGCAAATACCAGCACAGAACACAGGCCCTGTCCCGGAGGAGTTAATGTGTGTGTCATATAGACAAACATCACATGCCTAGTAAACATTGACTTTCAGGGTTCTGATGTCTGCTCTACTATTGGTATTCTCTGTGACCCTTAGCTTCTCCCTAAACACATGCAGTTGTTTGTCAAAGACAAAGTAAAGAAGCTGGCTGTGCAATCTTGGGCGTGACTGGATACATTTCTTAGAAGTCTCTCAACTCCTGGGGACTGTGGCTTCAGGAACGAAGTGCCAGACTTGCCCCTCTCTCCCTGGATGACCAGCTGTTCTTGTGGCTCTGCCTGGGATGGAGTCTCAGGAGGCAGCCTGAGTTTGGGGTGGGCAAGGGTAGCCATGGGGGGAGGGTAACTTCTTGGGGCTTCACGGAGGGTGGACCCCTTGAAATCCATGGAGGTTGAAAGTTTCTGAAGAGGACTTCTGATAATAAGGGTGAGATATCTATAAGCCTTCCAGAAACAGTGGAACCGATGGTTTCCCTGTATCGAAAGCAAGTGGTGAGAGAGAGCAGACTACTATGGCTCCGTCTTACCCCTGGGCTGGCATGTCCTGGAGAATATGTGCTATTCAGTGAGGTTCAGTGAGCGAACGCCCCAAATCATGTCTAGGTCGAAACATCCAATTATTTTCCTAAATTTAATCATGACTTTCTCCTCCCATGGCTTCCCACAGCTCTCCAACCCCATTCTCTCTCTCTCTCTCTCTCTCTCTCTCTCTTCCAGGCAACCTAATCTTTTGAGAAGGCTGGCTGGGAAAAGAATTCAGAAGTTGCACAATGCTAAGTCCTGATAAATGCACTCTTCAAGGACAGAGTTAAAACATAGACTGCTCCACAGCCCATTCTCTTAAAGGTTCTCTCCAAGGATCCCGGGTTTTGGTCATTAGGGTTCCAGATGATCACTTCCTCAGTGGCTCTTCTTGACAATTATTACAAACAACCTAACCTCAGAATTACCAGAATGAAAAGGAGATTCTAGTTATTGACAGGAACATGGGCTTCTGGAGCCAGGCTGCTCATCCTTCCTCAGCTATGTGACCTTGTACCTGCCTTCTTAATTTTTGAGCTTTTATTTCCTTGTTTGTAAGTGATAGAAATAATGGAAACATAATATCAATTTTATAATACTGAAGTGAGGGTCAGCTCTATGTAAAGGATTTATCATAATGCCTAACCCATGGTCGTTTTTCTATGACTGTAAGTTCTTTTCTATCCTATTAAAAGTGAGTTAAAAGATATACTGGAGGGAGAGGGTGGGGGTGGGCAAAACAGGTGAAGGGGAGTACTGGCTTCCAGTTATGGAATGAATAAGTCATGGGGATGAAAGTTACAGCGTAAGGACTCTAGTCAATGGTATTATGATAGCATTGTGTGGTGACAGAAGGGAGCTACACTTGTGGTAAGCGTAGCATAATGTACAGAGCTATTGAATGACTATGTTGTACCCCTGAGACTAATGTATCACCGTCAGCTATATGCAAATAAAAAAATAAAACAAAAGTCAAATAAAATATATACTGGGTGTTGGGGTGCCTGGATAGCTCTGTCGGGTAAGTGTAGGACTCTTGATTTCGGCTAAGGTCATGATCTCAGGGTCCCGAGATGGAGCCCCATGTTGGGCTCTGTGCTCAGCAGGGAGTCTATTGGAGATTCTCTCCCTTCAAGCCTCCCCTGCCCCCGCCTCTTGAGCACTCTCTGTCTCTCTAAAATAAATAAATAAATCTTTGAAAAGTACACACACACACACACACACATACACACACACACACTCTGGGTTTTTCATAACTTCCGCAGAAAGAACAGATGATTAGGCTTTTCCTCCCTGATAATTCCCACGTCAGAGGTCCCAGCGTCTCAAGGTAGCTGTCACAGTTTTATGAATACGATGTACTCTCAGTACATATTTTGTGAATGAGTAGATGAATAAAGTATAAAATGTGTTGCAATATTTAAAAATGCAAGTTAGATTTAGGACAAAACCAGCAGATCCTAACATGGACTTGCCTTACTCTTAGACTATTTTTAACTTTTAAGAAGTTAGGACAATACAGCCTGGGTGGCTCAGTCGTTAAGCGTCTGCCTTCGGCTCAGGTCATGATCCCAAGGTCCTGGGATCGAGCCCCACATCGGGCTCCCTGCTCCGTGGGAAGCCTGCTTCTCCCTCTCCCACTCCCCCAGTTTGTGTTCCCTCTCTCACTGTGTCTCTCTCTGTCAAATAAATAAATAAAATCTTAAAAAAAAAAAAAAGAAGTTACGACAATACAAAACAAACAAAATCCCACAGCCTTTATTAGGCGTGAGCTCCCTGGCTGAAACTGTTATCACACCACAGTAAACGACAGGAGTTTAGGAGGGCAGGAGCCTTGGAGTGTTACCTGGGATGGGCAGGTGTCGGGTTTTTGGTCTGCTAGGTGAACATTTAGGACATAGGAATGATAATGCCCCAGATTGCCCTAATGGACTGAAAGAACCATTCAGCTTCCACAAGCACCTGGCTCATTGCCAGGGAAGAGCTTACGAGGCCAGCTAACCTGATTCACTATGTCATTATCCTCTCTGTGAGGGACTGCTTCTATCTGTAGCCATTTTACAGAGCAGGATACTGACCTAATGATCTCTGGAGTCATGCCATAAGTTAGCGGTGGCCTGGCCAACGTGCTCTGCAGCAGGATATCGGCTCTGTGAAAATATCCAAAACGGTACAGTGATTTATATTCAAGCATTATATATGGGTCATCATGGTGGGTATTCAATGCATAAGCAGCAGTGAGGAAATATTAGAGGCCCACATAGTATAGTAATTAAGAATGTGATCCGTAGAGTCAGACTTCCTAGGTCTATAGCCAAGCAAGCCCTGCACTAGCTGCCTGACCTTGCCCTATGCCAACACTCCTTGTGCTTCAGTTCCTTCAGTTATAAAATCCGTGTAATGAAAGTACTAACCTCATATGATTGCCCTCTCAACTAAATAGGACATAGCACGAAGGGGCAGGTGACTTGTAGAGATCATCTATCACCACATAAACCAAAGTGTGTTCTCCATTACCCACTAGTTCATTAACTAGTAACCCGTGTGATGGAAAAACAGCTCGGGACTTGAATAAATTTGATAAACAGTGCATTAAATCACCCATAGATAAAATAAATGCTAGCAATTCTACGAACTTCGGGTGCAGTTTCTAAATTGCTAAACTCCTTGTCTGATAATTACACTTACCAGAATAGATTCCCAAGTAGGTGTTCAGCAAATAGAATTACCATACTTAGAACCACAGAGCTTTTAAAAAAAAAATTTTTTTTTAAAGATTTATTTATTTTAGAGAGAGAGCGAGCGTGTGCCAGAGCACGAGTGGGGGGCGGGGCAGAGAAAGAGAGAGAGAAGCAGACACCCCACTGAATGCAGAGCCCAGAGCCAGATGCAGTCGCCCCAGAGCTTTCTGAGGAGGCACCCCCTTTACCGGACTTGTGGGAAGTGGCTTTAGGGAATAACATCATCCTCATACACAGGGACTCCCAAATTGCCTGGTACCAGATGGAAACTGCTTTTAGTGAAATAGCTGGGTTACAAAGCAGGAGAAAGAGATAGGCCCATCAAACTTCTGGTGTCTTCAGCTGTCCCTGGAGGAAGCAGACTCTTTAGCTCAGGTCAGTGTCCTGACCTCCAAGGATTCCTGGGAATGCCCCTGGGACTTCCCTTGTTAATAAATGGCATTTTATTACTTAAGTCAGAAAAATATACAGCCCACTCTCTCACAGGTGGTGGATTATCAACAGTACATGTGATATTTTTCATTTTCTGCATAGTTTACCACATAGTATAGGTCTAATAAAGGTATTCATTTGAAAGATTATTCCTAGAGAGGTATAAAAGTCAAAGATTTGCTCAAAAATTACAAAAGAAATATTAGATTGATTTTGAACGTTATTATACTTAAATAATTCAGCAAAATTCAGTAGGTGGAAAACTTGGTATATGGGCTGCCAAAGCAAGCACAGTAGGTGAAAGACTTAAATCTGCAAGTAACTTTTTACTCAAAGGCAATCTAGTGATTCATAACGTAGATCATAATACCCATATAATCCTCATATCTTCATGGTTTAATCTATGCTGATATGTAATAGTCCTGGGACTTAATGCAAATCAAACCTGTCACTGCTTTGTTGAGTATCTGTATATTTACTTTCATGGAATGCCAAATTCTATGTGATAATTTCATTTTGGATCCCATTTCAAAACCTATCTCATAGTGCTACTTTAAGAATCAAATTTAAAAAATTGATGGGAGGCATTCCTTCTGCTCAAAATGACAGATTTTTCATCTACACAGTCAGTCTACCTCTCTTGCCCTCAAAATAATCCTCCCAGTCCAAGAGTGTCACTGAGCCTATATTCCTTTGGGTTTTGAAGCTAATATTTTGCATAAACAGATGCCTTCACCTGCACTGGTTGACAACAGATTTAAAGTGGGTCTTAGGGTATCTGGACGCAGGTCTGGGTCTGAGAGGATGGCATGTGGAATGATGTTAGAGGTGAGGCTGGGAGCGCAAGCAAGCGTGAGTAGGCATTGGTGGTTGAAGGGACCACTGAAATACAAAGCATTAGTTAGGGCTGCTTAGTTTTAAGTGACAGAAAATCACCTCACCCTCCTTAAACAAAAAACAAAAGGGATTTATGATTTTGTATAACTGGAAAGTTTAAGGGCCATTCAAACTAGAACTTTATCTCTCTCTCCATCACTTGGCTTGTCTTCTCACTCTGTGTTGACTTTATTCCCAGGCAAGTGCTCTGCACTGGCAAGAATGCTGGCTCTGGCAACACTAGGAACTCATGACCTGAGAGAAGAGTTAATTACTCTCACCCATACAAACTTTTGAAAATTCTGGGCAAGAACTTCCATTTGCTGAGCTTGGACTCCATTTCCAACCTCACACCTGTCACTACACTCTGGGAAATAAAATACTATAACTGATCCAGCATTGGCCAGTTGTAGGAGTAGAGGACAGAGGAAGGGGATGACAATGATGATGGCAATTGCCAAATTTACCAGGGCCCCATGGAGAGGAGAGGGGTTCTCCAAAAGAAAGTGTGCTAGGTGAGGAGTCCTGATCCTGACTAAAAACCTATGTGTGATTTTTCAGGCTCCACCAAAGACTATGACAGAGCAGACCTCATGGAGAATGCTGCCCTACCACACCAAACTTGGTGCACATCCAATGGATGGCAGTCTGAAGGGAGTTACAGTCAAGGACTCCCTCCCCTGGCTAGTCACACTCTTAGGCATATCTATATTCCTTCATTCTGTCCCAGGTCCACAAAAGCCTTTAGTTTGAGGACCCTTTGCCTGCAAGACTATCTCCATGTCTGTGCTGATCCACCTGATCTTTTACAGGTGCCATGCAATGGCGATGTGGGGACTGGTGGGGCCTGGGGTTGGGGTGGGGGGGATGAAATATGGAGGAGTCAGCACTTTCTCTGGTTTAGCCTCTTGTTTATGCTATTGTAGTGGGCGATTAAAGCTTTCACTGTTACTTTCATTTTGGCTTTTTGTAGTAATCAACTACTCTGACACCCGGTGGTTCAGCTCTCACCAGCTCAACTGAGCTTCTGACAAATTGTCACAACGATCAGAATAGTTGATTAGGCAGAGTGCCACTCTGGAAAAACAAAAAGCCTGAAAATCCCACAGGCACCTTTGGGTACTGCTAGTGGAGTCCATGGAGGTATCTAGAGGGGTGTGGCAGATCGTTTCCAAGAGTCTGAGGTCCTGTGAGGTACTCACCAATGGGTCTTGGGAAATGCTAGTGGATCCTGAAAGACACTTTGCCACCATGACATTGGATCTCAGAAAGTGCTACCCAAAGCTTCGGGGCATTATTGGTGTGTGCTAGTGGGTTATAGAAATAAGCTTTTTAGTTCTGAGGGATATCACTGGTCCTTTCTTTTGGCCCCTGACTCCCCACCTGAACTCATTTGGTAGGTCAGATGAGAGATCCAACAGAGGAGTTTGGAGAAAGCTAGGGAAACAGTTTCTTCCTAGCCACTGTGTAGGGCCCTTTGATAATGGGGCCAGAGATGGTCACTGGGGCTTCTGGGAGCCGAGTGACTCCAAGCAGGTCCAAGGTACCAATAAATGCCCGTGGTATAGCAGCACATGCTAGAACGTTAGAGAAAAAGGAAAAGGAAAGGAACAAATCAACTATTTGGGATCGTGTTGGCAGCCTCAAAGAGACCTTAGAGACTTAATTAGATCCCCTCCAGAGGTAATCTTGCTGAAGTTTGTAAAAAGGGAGAGAGACCAACAGTTTGGACTGAAGCCTTCAGAGCAGATTCTCTTGACCTCAAACTCAACAGTAATATTTTAGGGCTGTATGTGAAGAGACAGCTCACTGAGCTGGTGGAGTGCAGAGTGAGGAATAAGAGACTATTAGCTTAGAACAATCCTCAGAAGATTCTGTAAGAGATTCGACTGAGAGACGTGCCCACCCTCTTCTTAAAAAGGGAATTTTTTTCCACGGGCTCATTTCTGGGATCTCCAAGTTTAGGTTTATAATAGTCAGTGAAAGCTACTCAGGAGTGGGAGAATGTTCACGAATGAAACAGTGTTAGGTCTTTTTTTTTTTTGGTGTTAGGTCTTAAGCAAGCTCTACTATATATTTTGTAGCTTGTGGAGACCTTGATCAGAGGAAATAAATACTTGTATGTAATATAATTTCTCACCTCAAGGAGCTTTGTGTTTACTTGGGGATAACGAGAGGACAGAATGTATGGAAATAGAAACAAGAGATGTTCAGTCTATAATGACCTGCCAGTGTGAGTAATTAAGGTCCTAAGTGTTCTAGGAATCCAAAGAGGAGAGATCAAAGTAGAGGAATAATCAAGGAAGATTTCCTATGCCGTGCTCTCACTTCTTCCTGCTGCCTCTCACACTTTGCTCCATCTACATTCTCTTTGCCACCTCAACCAGCTCCCCTATTATGAATCTGTCTCTCAGCATACAAATACTGGAGTCAGTGCTTCTGTTCTTTATCTCCCCCTCCCCATTCTCTATAGAGCAAGAGCCCTCTTCGAACCGTCTCCATTCCTTTGCCTCTTCTTGATATTTTTAAAAGCATAAAAGTGGTTTCTTTCACATCTAACAATTACATTTAGCCCTATGCAGCATCAGTGTCATGTTCATCTTTGCCTTCCGTTGGGGCAGTGGGTGTAGTAGTTGAGCACGTATCTCCTGGAGCCAGTCTGCTGAGGTTCAAACCCCAGGTCTTCAAGTTTCTAGCAGCAGGAAAGTTATATATCTTTCTTGTGAATCCGATTTCTCAACTGTAAAATACAGGATAATAATAGTATCTATCCTGGATATTTATAAAATTAATTAAACTAGGGGCACCTGGGTGGCTCAGTCAATTAAGCGTCTGACTCTTGATTTTGGCTCAGGTCATCAGCTCAGGGTGTTGAAATCGAGCCCCACATGGGGCTCCACACTCAGTGTGGAGTCTGCTTGATATTCTTTCCCTCTCTCTTCCTCCCCCTCTACTCCTCCTCCCACTCTTACTCTCTCTCAAATATATAAATAAATAAATAAATAAATAAATAAATAAATAAGTCTTAAAAAAATTACTTAAACTAATAATGTAATCACTCGGAACTGTGCTTGACAGAGAATAAATACTCAGTAATCATTAGCTGTTATTATTATCCTTGCCTTCCACCTGACCACTTGTCTTCCTGCTTAAGAATATCATTTAATGGCAGTTTTAGTGAGTTTGTGGTAAAGATTTCCCGGTTTTGTATGTTTTAAAAAGTTTTTTTTTCTGCCTTCAAGCTTAAATGATAATACATTTGAATATAGAATACTCGGTTGATAATTACTTTTCCCGCAGTGGTTTGGAGACATTATTCCAGTGGCTTTGAAATTTATTGTCACTTAATAGTCTTCAGTTACCCTAATCTTTATTCATTTTTAAGCAATACACTTTTTCTGGTAGCTTTTGAGGAGTTTTCCTTGTCTTTGATAGACTACACTTCCACCGTAATGGGTCTAGATGTAGTTTTATTTTTATTTATCCTACTCAATGGCTGGAATGCACTTTTGGTTTATATATATTTTTTTTATGTGGGAATATTCCATAGTATTTATCACTTCTCTGTCATTCTTTGGCATTTTCTTCTATGGGACGTCTTATTAAGTACAAGTTGGAGCCATTCAATCTTTAATCAGTAAATGGTAACTGCCATTTCACATTTTTATCTTCTTATCTCTTGGTGCTGGGTTCTATGTAAGTTCTGCTTTAGTTCTGTGTTAACTTTGGTACAGTTACCCTTTCTTTATTCCAATCCAGACTTTATTTTATTTATTAAATTTTATTTTTTTATTTCACTGCTTATATTTTTCATTTGTAAAATTTTCAATTGTTCCCTTTTTATAACTGATTTTATTTAATTTTTATCTATTTCTGGTTTGTTTCTTGTTTCTTTCTTTCTTTTTTTTTTTTTTAAGTAGGCTCTACACCCAGTGTGGGGCTTGAACTCATGACTCCAAGATCAAGAGTTGCATGCTCCACCAACTGAGCCAGCCAGGAGCCCCTTGTGTGTCTTTCTTTTTAGTGGACGTTATACATTCATTTATGTCTTTGAAAATCCCAAACATGAATTTATCTGGTTTTAATTTTCTGTTTACTAGTATTTGGTTTTTCAAGTTTGGGAACTTTAGTTTGTAGGCTTATTTTGAGTGGCGTGTCTTCTCTTGTTTCCATTCTTCTCCCTCTAACTACTTTCTTCCGCTAGCTTTTTTCCCCCCAGAAGTCCCCTCTTTACCCCCTTTTATAAAAGGAGATCTTATAAATATGTCTTGGAACTCCTATGCTCTTAGTTCTTTCCCTCACCAATTTATTCTCCAAATTGTTACCCAAGTTGGTGTAACCTCCCAGTTGTTCCTTTGCCTTCAATCTCATCCCTTCCCACCAGATTCTCTTCCTCTAAGTCTTACCCTTTCTGGTGTGCTCCGCACTTCTATCAAAGTGAATTTTCTAAAAAAAAGGAAATGTGATCACAATACTCACCTCCTTAATGTCCATCAATGGCTCCTCATTGCTTTCATATTTCCAGAATAATGATTTTGTATGACTCACAGAGTATTTCACGGTGGGTTTCTTGCCATTTTCACCAGCTTCATCATTTGCTGTCCTCCTTATCACCAGAACTGCCCTACCGAACATCTTGCAATTTCTTGAATGTGCTGTATTTTCTCAGAATCTCTGTTATTTTCACACTTTAATCCTTCTGATTATGGTACTGTGCCCACATCTCCCTTGCTCTACTCTTACTCTCTGTCCTGTTGATATGTGTACTCATGCGTCAAAATACTACTCAGATTCGACCTCTCCCAGGAAATTTTATAGATTTCCCATCCATCTTCTGTCCCTTAGAATTGGCTTCATAGAAATTTGTGCCCAGCTTACCTCCATTATCATGTTTGTTTGCTTGTTGTCTTTCCCTTTATCTTTCAAGTTTCTTGGGGTCAGAAGCTATTTCTTTCCTTTACCTATTTAAGCTCTGTATTCCCAGCACCTAGCATAGCACCTACCCTGGAGCAAGTACTGAATATTTGTTGCATTAATATGTAAATGTTAAATACATAAATGAATGAATGAATTGAAACCAGAGCCATTCTGGTGTCTGCTACATTGAGGACAAAAAAACAAGGGAAAGCCAGGTGGGGACTGAGAAAGAATCCTGGAACTTATTCACAGAAAGGCCCTTTTAGAGTTCCTGGACACCAACATTATTGACAAGGGACTTACTTGTCAGTAAGGGGGATTCACCTTGTCATGTGGAGTCCCACACATCTCCTGATAGATAGTATGTGCCAGATTCTACCATAAATGTTGAGACACAGGTATGAATGAGTCAAGACCTCTCCCAGAAGGAACGAACATTCTAGGAAGGAGATACAGATGAGTAAAATGATAACACCAATACAACATGTAACTGCTAAAACAGAGGAATGTGTGGAATGTAGAGAGAACACAGAGGAGAAAATGAATGACTGCTTATGGGAACCAGAAAAGGCTTCATGGAGGAGGCAACATTTCAACAGAGTTTTCAAGGAGGAGCAGAAGTTTGGACAGAGAAGGAGATGAAGATCTTGAAGTTGAGGGAGGTGTGAAGACCATGTTGTATGAGAGCTCATTGAGCTAAACGCATAGGGAAATTTTTAAATTATGAGATACAAAGTGGTATACCACAGACTCTCAGCTTTAGTATTTGAAAACCTGGGCTCGAGTCCTGGCTTCCTCTTTGACCAGGTATATTACCCTGTGATAGTTCTGTTGAGCATGATGTCAACTCGGGCAAGGCGCTTACTATTTCTGAGTTCTGGTTTCCTCATTTGCAAAAGGAGAACAGCCATGTTTCCTGAAGCAATTGGAAGCAATAAATTAAAGGTTGTCAGAGCTTTTTATAAACTATGAGGTTTTTCTTTATTTTGATGAGGACAACAAATATTTAACTAAATAAATGATGAAGTCTTTAGCTTTAGCCAGAACGCTTATGATTCCATAGGCCACATAGATTTTAAGGCACGGCAACCTAGAACCAAAATAAAAACCAAAATGATCTAAAAGCAAAATCCCTCAGACCCTTTCTCTTCTCCCTGAGAGCTGAACAGTCACCCTTTTTTTCAGTGTTCTGATCTTCAACAGAACTGGCAGTGCCTCAAGGCCCAGTTCAGGTGCTTCTGAGTTCAAAAGTCTCAACACTTCTACAGAGGGATGAAATTTCCATTTTGCAAGCACCACTGTGCCACAAAGGGGTAGGGGTGCTCTGTGTAAGCCTTCACCACGTGCTCTCCCTAACCAAACCTTTTGACTAAAAATATGATTTATAAAAATTGAGTTTTAATAGGTGTCTTCTATATCATATACATTTCTACTCACATTTTTCTTCTAATTAACATCTGGTCCAGAGACATCAGCAAAGACTTTAGTGTACAACATGTTTAAGTTCTGTCTTTCTGTCTCATGTTCAGCAGGACAGTTGTAGAGGGGCCGGAGATGGTGACCCTAGGGTTGGGAGATTTGGTTACAAAGGCCACCTTTCATTAATCTGAACAGATAGCCACAGGGCAATGTGAATCCTCCACAACTGGATTTTATCACAGCAAGTTCCTTTCGATGTGCGCACATTAAAAAGAATGCAATAAAAAAAGAAAACCTTGTGTTTTTTTTCCTCTTCTGTTCATTATGCAGTTCTTGAATGAAGAGGAAAATAAAATGATTAGATGAAAGGAGAACCGACTAATCCCTTAAAGTAGGCATTAAAAAATGGTTCACAGTGTGTTTGCCTCTTAAGCAACATGCCTAAAAAAAAAAAAAAATTAACGAGTTGAAACATGCAGGAGTAAGGCTATGACATCATTTCTGGATAAGGTGTCCTTCCTCAGTGCTGAGTTTGTCCCTGGCATAAATCCACAGAGGTAGTCTGTGTGGAACAGAAAAACACAGCTGGGACACTGGGGAACTCCCCCCAGGATCCACAAAGCAAGTCCGATCATTTACCTACAGTGTTACGGAGCTAATGGATTCCACCTGCAGCATGTTGGCCATGACACCACCTTTTCTTCCAGGGTCCTGAAATGCTGAACCCTAGCTCCCACCCTTTCTTTGTATTTCTTACTCTTTAGCTTGGGGTATTAACCCATCTGTACCTTTGGGTTCAGATGGTGTCATTTGTTTGGTGAACTTCAACATGATGTCATTAGGAATTCACACTGTTGTTCTTTAAGGGCTCTGAGAGGAAGAACAAAGCTCTGTGTACCCGGGGGCTTGGGTGGAGATGCAGGCAGTCACAGTGTTTCCCCTTCCCCACGGTGGCCCACAGCCGTTCTGGGCCCACGAGCAATCTGTATATAATAAGTGACAGATTCCGCCTCCTCTAAAGGAAAGGGCCATCGGAGAGCAGCACAGAGCCAGTACAATAGCGAGGCAGGTGCTCCGGTTAGACTCCACTCTACCAGGAAACGCTTCTGGAATGCATGACCAATTTGGTTTCAGAGCAGAATACTCTCTTTAATGGACAGAAAACACTAACCTTTTCTTTTTCCTTTTCTCTTTTCCCTCATACCCCCACCCTCCTGACTCCCTACTTTCAACGAGACCCCTCTCCACTTAACCCTTTCAAAGGAGAAAGGGCCAGGCTCCAGTCTGCACGCACCCATCCATCTATGTGTTGCTTTGCGAACAATCCGGGAAGAAGAGTAAAAATTCATTAGCCAGGAGACCAAATCTGCTCTCGGCTGGAGGAGCACAGGGAAATAATGGGGGTGGGAGTATGAGTGTATTACTAACTCGGTAAAACCAAACTACAAAAAAACCTACAAGTTTCACTTTTACTTCTAATTCTCATCTGTAAACAACTTCAGGAAGCATACTTTTAGAAAAAGGGCTAGAGTAATAGAAATCTGGAAATAAGGGCTCTGAAAGGAAGAAATACACTATTAAATTTGAAATGATCAAAATCACATTAAAATCACACGTCCTTTTACAGATCATGTAGCATTTGAGTGAAATAAAAAAATCTCATTTTAAGGATTCTCAAGTGCGTCAAGTTGCCATAATATGGATTGAATCAAATAATAAATAATACTGTTATCATGATTTTGTGCTTTGCTCATACATATGTATAGGTGGCATCACTTGATCGTATATTATTCAATATACCCATTTCCCAACACACAAAGAAAAATACCATAACTTGGGTGGGGGGATAATTTTCCAATTTTCCAATTAAATTCTTACATATGCACACCCTGAGTCTATTGACAAAGGAAGATGTAAGCAGTCTGTATGGTTTCTTTTCCATGTAACCATATTTGAAATGCCATGATAGGGAGTAACGTATATTAACATTAATAAGGGTTTCCCCTCCGAGAGTTATTGTAACTTATCTTTGAAGTTAAGCTCATTTATCATGGGGAGAATAGACCCCAAAAAGTACAGCAGCCGCGGCATCCTGCCCGAGGCAGAGTTAGAGACTTCCAATAGCTGCTGTAAAGAAACATTCTGAAAATGCGTTCACTACTGCACCAATAAATCTTAAGACAGAAGAGTTTTAATTACAGAGGATGGCAAAGCCAAGATTTTTCAAATGAACCCAAAAGTATTACTTGAGAGAGCCTCCCCACTCCCCCTGCCATATTACCCAACCTTTGATAAATTTCTGTGTTCTTCCTCTGGGAACAAAAATCTGCTTTTTAAGCAGGACTTCTGGAGGATATCTTCATTTGTAACATAGTAGGCAGGAGAAACAATGGAAGTGAAATATAGGAAGCCAATCGACATGCATGCGTGAGGAGCAAAGAACATGATAAGCGCACCGTAAATTCTTTGGGGGCATATTGCAGGTTGTATGTACAGGAGAACGTGTCATGCCTGTGTATGCATGTGTATGGGCATGTGCTCCTATAGGGCTTGATCCTTAATAGACTGCTTCTTTAAGGAAAGAAAAAATATTTAGTGTCATTTGTGTCCTAGTACCAAAAATGAACTCTTTTATTTCTTAGGAAAAAAAATTAAGGCTAATGAAATTAGGAGTTGTTTAAATCAGACGCAATTAAAATGCACACATTTCTTTTCCTGGAATCTGCAGTTGTATTCAACGTTTGCAGTACAACGCCTGCCTGTAGGATAAATAATTTAACGGGTTTTGTGATTTGGTACTAAAAGCATAACAAAATCCTACAGCTGTAGCCTCATTTTTCTCCACACTCAAACTGTTCCCTTCTTAAATTGCATATTTTTTACAATTTTTTTTTTTAAAGATGGCACCACATATTGGTTGCTGTTTTTTTTTTTTTTTTTTAAGATTTATTTATTTATTTGACAGAGAGAGGCACAGCGAGAGAGAGAACACAAGCAGGGGGAATGGAGAGGGAGAAGCAGGCTTCCCGCCGAGCAGAGAGCCCGATGCGGGGCTCGATCCCAGGACCCTGGGATCATGGCCTGAGCTGAAGGCAGACGTCTAATGACTGAGCCACCCAGGCGCCCCTATTTTTTACAATTTTTTTAAGAACACAAAGTAGGTTCTACATCTTTGAGAACCAATTTCCGACATAATAGGTAATTGCACATAATTACAGGAGTTTCAGAAACTGAAACAAGAAAAAAAAATCTCTCCTCACTCCAAACCTTTCTTCTTCAAGATTGGAATTAAATCACCATCTGATTCTGTTCAACTTTGCCCTTTATTACAACAAATGATGTATGCTGAGAATAGCCCAAAGTGAAAACTACCCTAAATGCTTCTGTTTTCTAGTCATTCAGTATTAATTTAGCATTTTGATTATACAAACATGAGGACAGGTTTTTATAAATTGCTTCATTTTTACATGGTGCATGCCACACTGCAAAGGAATGTGGTCAGTTTAAGGCTTTGGAATAGCGGGGGCTGCGTTTTTAATTACCTTGCTATTTTCCAAATCCACACTGTGAAGTGCTTCCTGATAGGCGTTAACCCTCAGTCACTCAGAAGGAGACTAAGGACCGAAGGAACACCTGGCTTGCATGGCCCTA